TGTTTGTCTAAGCAGAGTGTGTATACATTATAGAGTGGCCAACTGTCCCGAAGCTGTTGTGGTATCACTGTCCCAGTGGCATTTGCATTTTAACGTCATGCCATCTCTACCAGCACCACATTTTTGTTTATGAACATAATCTGGATGCGTGTCACAAGAACAAAGGGTTTTGTGGAGCGTTGCCCTGCTGATGAACCGGGACGAGCCGATGCTCCGTGACCTGGATAGAGAGAGGAGAGCCCGCCATATTAGAAAGGGTCACGGTGTCAGTGGCAACACACATCCGTGTAAAAGCACACACGCAGCTGCACACGCACATGCGGCGTTCGCACACACGGGACGGACCGGTTGTAGCATGCGTCGTGGTGGTTGCGTTTCAGCTCGTTTTCCCTAAGCTTTACGCTCATGTGCGGGTTCGATAGCGCGAAGCAGCGATCGCTGCTGCTGTTCGAGCGTAATCTCCTGACAGGAAAGGAGCGGATGCATTGGAAACATGACCTTGTTAATGGTGTTGCTGAGCGGGTTTTTTTTTTTTTTTTGCAGCTTTACACACAACCAGAGTGCGAGTTCACACAGCGGCTGAACCAGTAAACTCCAAGGTCACGGCCAAGTCCAGGTGGTTGGTGTGGGGAAAGAATGAAAAAAGACGGCCTTTTTCTTGCGAATGCCGCAGCTCTGAAGCTCGATATGGTCTCGTCACTTATTGCATGCTTAAAACTCAAAAAGGGAGTCTTGTGGTGTAAGACGCATCCACACATTGGGATTGCAACGTCGCTGGTACACTTATGGTCAGGAACCTACAGTATGCTCATAGCTGCCCTAAACAGACTGTCCCTTGTAATAAGAGCAGCTCCACCACATTAAATCCAAAGCATCTGTGTTATTTCAACAAACTGTTAGATTAGTGGACGTATTACAGTAAAGTGGAGCTTGATGCTGGAGAAGAGCCAATAGCAGGCCTTGATGGAAGATGTTACAAACAGATGGACTAAATCCCCTTCAGCTTTGAGGAGAAACGTGCTGCCTCTTGAGCGTTAAGAGCTAAAAATAAATAAAACGGGACACGTTTGCCATTAGCTTGCTTGAGCTTTACATAGGCAAACAATATACACACATACTGTCTCTTTTCCCATCTTTAATCCTTTCCTTTCCTCTCCACCTTCAACACGCTGACCTTTAAGGCCTCCCTCTTTCGCATTTTCTCACTATCTCAGTCCTTTTATCTCTTTCTCTCCTTCCCTCTGGTCGTTTCTGCTGAACTGTGAGGATTGAAGGGATGTGGGAAAAAAAAAAAGCAGCTTGGGATCATGGGAAGGTGTGATGGCGGGATGTCTGTCGGGACCTCGGGGATGAAAGAGCATGGCCCCGTGAAAGAAGAGGAGAGGTTGGAAAAACAACCTTCCTTCCTTCCTCCATCTCAACGATGATTGAAGGAGTAACACCTTCAATCATCGTTGAGAGACTCTAGATGTCCAGTGGCAGCAGCGGCTCAGCTGTTGGGTCATCGCCAGGTGCAAAAATATGTGCTTTCTGCCGTATGAGGAACCACATATACATGACGTACAGATTAATCTGGTCACAAGAGGCCTTCGCCATGTTGCAGGCTCAACATGGCGACTCAAACCTCCTCTGGTTTGACACGGATTATTCATGCGTGGCACAAAAATGTCTTTAAGATGCGTGATCTCAGGGCGCTTCAGCCTTTTCTCTACTTGCAATTCATTCATCTCACTGTCGTTTGATCTGATCATACCCATCAGTGGCAGTGGCAGCCTCCTCCTCCTCCTCCTCCTCCTCCTCCTCCTCCTCCTCCAAACCCCCGCCCGTCCATCACCTCAAACCTTGCCCTAAACAAGGCCCTGGTACAGCGCAGCGCTTGTGTGCAGCGATACCGAGGGAGGTCGCCGTGCGGTCACTGCGCAAAGCCTGGTCGCATTGTGACTCCAAGCTGCAGAATGTGCCATGGTGCATTAGCGCGCTGCCGCCTGGCTGAGCATGAGGCAGAGAGAGAGAGAAAGAGGTAGGAGGAGCTAAGGGATGGAGTAAAAGGCAAAAGGATGGGGAAGCAAAAGAGGGAGGAGGATAAGAGGAGAGAGAGAGAGAGAGAGAGAGAGAGAGAGAGAGAGAGAGAGAGAGGGAAGAAAGTGAGAACATCAGCGCACTTACACAAGCAGAGTTCAGAGGCCCCGGGGGCACAGGGTCCCTGTAAGGTGGCTCATCAAATATGGAGGCAGATCAAGGTTGTGTGTTCGCTCCGGTATCGACTCCTCATCTTCTCCTTCTCTCAGTTTCTCTTCTCAATTCACTTTCTCACTTTTGTCTCTTCTTGGAGCTACTACTCAATGAAAACAACTTTTCCGCGCTGAGCCACAAAAGCTTATTACACACCAGGTTTTCTGTTCCTAAAAAGACAGCTGGATTTCAGACAAACTGAGGGTGTCCCTGGTTTGATTCTAGCCAACAACCTTTGTTGGCATCCCCCTTACCATCTCCCCTTGGTTTCAGTCCATATGCACAAACTACTATCAATGATAAAATGCCAAATTATCTTAAAGAATAAATGAATAACAAGAAAATAGAAAGAAAAAAAGACTGTTCTCCATGTGCGCCGTTAGATAAAAACAGATGGGATGTGATTGGATGGTGTGACGGACCAATGGGAGAGCCCGTCGTGACGCTGCTGGCGCATGATCTCACTTTCATCATGGCCCTAAGCAGGTTTAAATAGCACCGATCGGCCTGTTGCTAATCTGCTCTGCACCAACTGGATGTGCTGTAACTAATGCATGCGCGCGCGCGCACACACACACACACACACACACCACTTCACTGTATTATTTGAAAGCAGTGAGCATTTCAGAGTATGCGATGAAAGAGGGTCACGTCGGGGGTCGTCGTCCAGGGACTTGTGCTGAAAGTCAAACATGAAAGAGCTCTACCCCGAAGGCTCTGGACAACCTCCATGACATGTGACCGAGGTCAAAGGAAGCCACGGCGGGGCCGTGCACTCACTATTAACCCATATACACTCACACACACGGACCGTATACACACACACACACACACGGTTTACTTGTACTCACTCTTTCTGCAGTGCGTGGCTGTGTTGTGATAAAGGCGAAGGCTCTGGGGGGGGTTGGAGCTCACAGCAGAGAGCCAGGGGTCCATGGCCCGTCCTTGACCCTCCGCTGGACCTTCGACAGCTTTGAGTGACGGAGAATGACGGAGAATTAAACAATGTTAGTCACAAATAGAAGAACTGAATGGAAATGTACAGCTACCTTGTTTGGCATGTTGTTTTAATAGCATTGGACATTAACTAAATAATGAAAAAGATGTTCAGAATGTCATTACGACGATGATGATGAAGGTGATGAGAATGGTGTTGATTATCGTTGTAAGTAAAAACTTTGACAACCACAAACCCACGATAAAGTAGATTTAAGTGAGCCTGGTGATTTTTAATCTTTTGAATCCCCTCAATTCTCACTAGTCTCATTTGCTCAAGAAGTAAATACTGTAAACCCATAGTGTAGTATTTCTGCCATGACACACGTTGATCTCCACAGGACAGATGTGCGTACACTCACTCAGGGTCAAGCGGTCAATAGAAGTGATCGGGGAGGCCCTGCTGCACGACGAGCCCATCGATCCCTTAGCCCCGCAGAGATATGGAGAACATAACTGTTTAAATTCATATCGGCCTCCAGCGCGGCAGCAGGTCCGGGGTGCAGTGGAACAAACTGGCACTCCACAGTATCGGCAGGATTGATCTGCTTATCTCAGGCCAAGTGTGAGCTTCCAATTCCTAATGCACGGTCAATACAAACACACGAGGGGGTGTATGAGGAGACAGCTGTGGACTCACTACACGGGAGGGTGGGAGTATCCATTTCTGTCGTGCCTGCAGCCACTCATCTGCCCTCATCTGTCACAAGCCATTACATTAACTCAGACCCAACAGGTGTTGCTGGATATGCCGGACACAGCAGCCAACAACTGCATGCTAATGAAGGCTGTATTCATGCAGGAGTTTTGTCCCATATTTTTATTTCAACACCTGCAGCCCGTTTGCTAAATTAGTCAAAAGTGAGGTTACTTCTTTTGAATGCACTTTAAAATTAAATTACTGTTTGTGGACACCGAATAAACAGTATTGGAGGTGCTCAACCATGACCCAACAGTAACAGGTTTCTGTAATCAGATACAAACAAACATCTGCCTTTGTTACCTGCCTATACTATATATGCTGGTGGAAAGTCCTATTAGAGAGCTATAGAGGCCTTTTCAGTGACGTTTTTAGGTGGAACAATGGTGGGGCAACAACTATTTGGACAGATGTAAAATCAGAAAATTACATTATTTTAAATAATACGCAATTTCACAATTCAAAGATTAACACAGGTGGTAATTCAACTTAACACATTACCTGTTCTCCTCTACTCTCTGGTCAGTATGCGCTGTCAATAGGTGTAAAGAAAGAAGCTAGAGATCATGAAAGCTCGTTCTTGACCCGGTAGCACCCCCTCCGAATAACACACGTGGGAGGCAAAAACAAAAGCGTCACCTCTGACAAACTTAACCGTTCGCCATGACGTCATAGGACCAGTCAAACAGCCAATCAGAGTGCAGCGTGATAACACGCAATCAGCTCTGCGCATGCGTGTTGTTGCGCTCCCACACTGGGCACTTAGCCCCCGCCTCAAAGTTGTGCATTGATCCATAATTATATTAATTTATAAATGACTCAGCACCACCAAAAACACACATTGTTTCCCTGATGCCGGCAGGGGGCGCTAGCGTCGCCTCCGGGCTTTTCATTGAGACATAAAACAATACCAAAAAAAAAGGATTAGGCCAAGTTATGCAGTTCAGTTTGAATATTACGGGTTATTATACAGTCTATGGCTGTTAATAATGCATTGTACTATTTCAAATGAGAGATGAGAGTTGTTGCAAATCAGGGTTCGTTTCCTGGTTACCATGTTTCCACGGTAATCATGGAACCTGTCAACAAATCTGGAAAACGGAGACGTGGAAGATGTAACAATTGGTAAATAAAAGGTTTACGTTTTTGTCTTTGGCTATAGCCTATATATCTAAACTTTGATACACCAGTCAAGCTATATACCGTGAACTGCTTTGAGCAGCATTTACAACAGTGGTGTCTCTATGGTTTCATTTTGCAGGACACTTACGCACGGATCTCCCCCGGACGGGCGCATGTTTCCAGCTGTTGCCGTCGAGAGGCCAGAGAAGCTGGATGACAGCGTGAGCAGACAGGTAGGCTCATTAACATTACAGTATGGTGACTGATACACTGGAGACGGCTGTCCACAGCTGTGGCATACAGAGTATAGTGCAGAAGGGAGTGTATTGATAGATTAAAGTATCTAAACATACTAGAGCCACCACATGTGTACGCAAATAACGGTAAAAAGTGGAGTATAAAAGTCTCAGAAGTATTCACTGAGAAGAAGAGTATTGATGTGATGATTGATGTGTTATGCTGTAGGCCTGAATGGGATTTAACTGTTGTGTTTATAAAAATGCAATTAAATGAACAAGGGCACATCTTAATCTGTAGAGTAGCTACTGTGCTGCTGTCAAAGAAATGGTTGGCCGGTAAATACTTTCCTCAAAAATGTTTCTCATTAAAAACACACAATGAAATGAAAATCTTTTTTTTTTTTACCAGTGCTTAAAAATGAACTTCAACAGCACATCATAAAATGTATTTAATTTCCACATTGTTGAGGTAATATTAGGAAGCACACACGGGTGTGAGAAAGCGGCACATAGCTGCGCGCATAACTTGTGTTTCGTCCTCCAGGGTCTGCCAGAGCTCCACGAGGCCTGCCTTTACGGCCAGCTGGCTACGGTGCAGCTCCTGGTGGAGTCCAGGCAGGAGTGGGTCAACAGCAGCGATCTGCAGGGTCGCCGGCCTGTTCACATGGTGCTGTCGTCCCGGAGCTCAGCCGACCCCTCCTCCTGCCTCACATACCTGCTGGAGCACGGGGCCGACGTCAATGTGTAAGGGCCTTGTTGTGTGAAGAATTGCTCTGCGCATGTTTTTTACTTTAGGCAGCTGCATTTTCTATTATGGGCTCGTTTATAGATTCTGTCAGCTGGATCCAGTGGCACTCGGCTTATTCAATCACCAAAGTAAAGCGATATAAAAAGAGAAGCTTAGAATAAAAACTGCAGAGAGCAACAGTGAAACTATGATTACAGTGAGACGATGGTGAAAGTTTATAGCTGCTGTTGGAAGGGATAATGATGGTAATGATGATAATTATGATGACAAAAGAAATGGTGATGATGATGATAACAGCAACAAGCTGAGAGAGTTTTTCAACTATCTTTATTTCTGTTATTACAGTACCACAGATTCAGGGAGGACCCCGCTGCACCTGGCCGCCTCCGAAGGCCTCCTGGACTGCACAGAGACCCTCATGCGGGCCGGAGCAGATGTGTTGGCCCAGGACAACATGGGACACACTCCTCTGGATGTGGCCCGCATCTGGTGCCGCAGGAAGGTGGCAAGGTAACGAGCTAAAAGAGAACAGTTCAGAAGGAAATGAAGTTTCTGTGAAGCTGTTTCGGTTACAATTGTCAAGACTTCTTGTGTGTTTCTGTGTAGGTATCTGAAGAGCTGCATGTGGCAGGAGGAAAAAAAGAAAGAAATGCAGGAGAGGAAGCTGGTTCAAACTTTGTACAGCGATCTCGTGGATGTGGTCAAACTGAATGATCTCAATAAAAAGGTGTTTGTATGTTGTGGAAATCCAATCATCCAACATTAATGAACCCCAAACTGTGACAGAATCAGAGAAACATTCACAGATGTCATGAAAAAAATCACATCAAAACTGTTTTGGGGTATTCTGTTTATCAAATGTTACTTATTTAACTATAACATGTATACTTCAACAATGTGAAACATATCTAAGAGACTGATCACACTCTCTGCGTGTCCATTTTCAGACACTTGTAGATGAGAAGACGGCAGAGTGGGCGAACAAAAAAGGTTTTCCTCTCCTAAAGGATTTGTCCCCCAGAGTCTTGGCGAGTCAGTACCACACCCAGTGCCTCGCCTCGGATCAGAACACTTCTCATCCAGAACGAGCCAAGCAGCAGAGGGAAGGTCCTCCGGAGGACCAGAGCATCTCCACTAAGCAACCTCCAGCCTCATCCTCCAGACCCTGGACCGTCTTCATGGGCCTGCAGCCGGAGAAGCCCCTCAGAGAGCCGGACCTGCGGGACCAAGTCACGGTGTGGAGGGACGGCGGTGGCGGCAGGCGGCCTCATTACACAACCAAGTGGGACGGCACGCGCCGCCCCACCCCGGACGTGCCTCTGGATGTCCTCGAGAGGGTGTTGTTCCCCAGAGCCTTCCCATCCAGGATCGCCTCCCCTCGGTGCTTTGAGCCACAGGACATTGTGGAGGTCCAGCACAGAAGATACCCCCAGGGGCAGAGCACCTCCCCCTGGACAGAGGTGGCCATGCACCTGCCTGAAGTGCTGGAGCCCGGACACTACTGATCATCGCACTCTGAGACCGGGAATTAGTAGATGTGTGTAAGAAATGTATTAAAACTCTGCTGTTGAAATATGTCATTTATTTTTTTACATCCAAACCTTGTGGGAGGATGAAAGCGCATGAAGCCCTGACAGGTTTTTTAATATACAATTTTGAGGAAATTTACATTAAGTATTGTCATTCCAGGATTATACTTTAGTAAAAGCTCTGCCGCGCCAAGACAATGAAAAATGACACATGACGGAGGGGTGAGTGAGAGGTGAGAAAACCTCAGTGAACTGGGTCACCTGTCTCAGATGGATCCCTGTACTCTCACTGGTCCCCCCAGGGAACTGACTCGGGGATCCAGGTGAGGGCTTGTCAGCAGCATGTTTGTGACTGCGAGCTGTGGCCTGTCAGCTTAAGGTGTGTGTGTGTGTGTGTGTGTCGCAGTTGTCTTTTTTCCTTTACTTCACACCTCAGCGGGGGTCACCACAGCCTCAACCTGGTGTGAGCCAGCCACATGGGACTTAAATAACATAAAGCCATCAAACTATGGCTGTCTAGCACACACACGTGTGCACGCACACACACGTGTGCACGCACACACACAGACCTTTGACGGTGTGGAGTTCAGGGTTGGACAAAAAAAAAAATCCATCGTACTGAAAAATAAATATTACCATTAAATGGGTGAATTAATGTGATTTATTTCCTTGAACACCAACCTGTGAAAAAAAACATTTCTTCCAATAGTTATTTCAACAAAATCTTTTATTAAACATTTGTGTGCATACCAGCCTACAAAGAATTGCACTCCGTAATTGGTAAAAAGAATTTCGGCCTCTTTAATAGCACTTTCACCAAACCACTTTGAGCAGCTTTTGTTCCCGACACACGAAAGCTTACCAGAGTCATTGCACAGGTTCGATCTTCACAAGTGTTTCTAGTCATCTGATGTCGGGTTAAAACTCAACGATCAATGTACAAAAACCTGTTTGTTATTACTGTGATTTTTATTTTGATCTTTTTAAACCAGTCCAGCCAGGTTGCAGACTACAGTGCTGGTGATTAATGACTCTGTCGAGACATGAAACACAAACGTCTCAACGTAGCGGATCGTTTTGTGTAAGTGATCCGGACCGGGAGATATCACTTTCATTTAAGGGCGTTTCAATTATAAAAGTAAGTGCTTTTTAACCCCTTTTACGTAGATGTGATGCGACAGGGCAGAGAGTATTTACATCACGTCTTGTAATTAAAATGTCTCCATCGATCTGAAGCCGATTCCTTACAACTTACCGTCAGACTGAACTCTCTGATTTAAAGTCATCTTTAAAAGTACTGTGGTCTCTAACCTTCTTCATCAAAGTGCTCACTAGTCGTATGTCGTCTAAACGACGGCAGATGTCACAACCCAAAAAGAAAAAAAAATGATAATGACTTATCTGCCAAAGTCCCAACAGGTAGAGATGGTGGTTGACTTTGGACGTAAGAAATTAAATACCAAAGTTTAAAAAGATGGAAGAGTCCAATGTAACGATAGGAAAGATCCCTACGAAGAGGTCTCTATGAGATGATGTTCGCAGTAAAGACAGACGGACAGAAAAACGAAGAGAGACGAACGTGGCCCGCGTCCAGCAGTGAGCTCTGCTCTGTTCATTGGTCTGACTTCTTTATCTGCTCTTCTTCCACTTTGGCCACTGTTTCGTTTTTAGTCCCATCCAGAAACAAATGTCCAAAGTCCTTCCTGCTTTCCCCTTAATCTCCAACACTCTCACGCCCCCCCCCCCCCCCCACCCCATGACCTCCAACCCCCGAGTTTGAGCTCCTCAGTACATTTTCTGTCGGCTGGGTAGCACTGCCTCCTTGAGGAAAGAGAACACGAGGAGGATCCCGGACCTCTTCCCCCTCTTGCCCTTGGTGAAGTAATTAGACACCACATCGTCTAAAAAGAAAAGAAAACGGGCGTTATATGGTTGTTTTATTTATTCTGTACGGACACCTGGAAGGCAGGAAATGTATCAAAATAAGGAAAGACTGGCACTAATGTAAGATAAATGTATTTATAACCTGTGCTTAAGATAAAGATCAAATTACAATGTACTTTAAACCTTGTAAATATGTTCTGAGGATGTTTATCATAAGCGTAAGGGATCTAAGCTAACGATCAAAAACAACACACAGCTGAAGAGACAAAACAAAGCTCACCTCCTTGTTGCATGGTGGACGGAAGCACGTTTTCCCCCGCCGACAGTGACACAAAGAAGCCGAAGGGGATCACCCACAGGCAGATGGTGAAGTACGCCAGCACCTTGATGCCAAACAAAGCATAAGAGAAATTAAAATGGCAGAAAATCTTTCCGGGCAGTGCAAGGCGTCATAAATCTGAGATGACATTACCTCCGAGAATGGATAATACTCTTGTGCAAAGTACTGGAAGGCCATATAATGGTTCACCACCACCAACACTGGGGAGTGAAGAAGAAACAATGTTGGCAAAAGTAAAACAGAAGAAGAAGAATTAAATATGTGCGTCATACTGACCGCAGGAGAGGATGAAGTTCGGGGAGCTCAGCAGTATGTAAGGGAACGTCTGCAGGAGGCCGAAGTACACCAAATTGGTGAAGAGGCCGAGTCCGACCATCAGCACGGGGAAGCCTTCAAAGAGATAGAGACTCGACAGCACACCTGTCGAGAACTGGACACATTCACACAGACAGGGAATCAGATCACAGGCGTTGTTTAATACATATCTTACTACAGTGTGTTCTTCAAAACAATCCGCTTACTCACCATTATCATGTACTTTATTATTCGACTGGTGGCTACTGTGTATTCTTCTATTAGTTCTGCCAAGTAGTACAGGCCAGCAGCTGGGCGAGGACGAAAACAATGTTAGAATGAATCAACCAAACAGGAAAAATAGCAGAAACAGAGACGCCATTCTTTGTCAAATCACACTGCTAAATTTATCAACTTTATCCGCCACTTTTGCTGGAAATCAACAAATATTTAGGTGTCAAAAAAAGCGATTTGTTAATTTCGATAGTGTGGTAGAGACAATTTCTATTCCACAATATGCTGGACATTGCGCTTCGTTATGTTTATTACTAAGAGGATAGTGGTACCACTTTTAGTACCACAAATGGCCCCAACAGAACACTATCTAAATAGCTTACTTTGAGGAATAACTCAACTTTCTTTAAATCTTTAGGTAGCAATCAAAGAATAAATAAAGAACAGTGTGATTAAGACCAGAGATTCAAGGCCCAAAAAGACTGTACATGTCAAAACATGTACGCCAGGTGACAGCTCTCAGAGCAGAGGCTCATGGGAGAGTCTGAGAGCTTCATCACGCAAAGTCAATCTACACTTTCCAAAAGAGAGAGAAGAGCGACAGCAAACTGCTCGCTCTTTTGAACGTGTTTCTGTTTCAAGTTCTTTTAACCTTAATCATATCTATCGATAAGAGGTGGAAAGATACGGCATGATGTATAAAGTAAGGCACTCACGGGTCACACGTGCTCTTTCACCTAGTTTTGATAACAGTGTCACATTGTTGCAATGCTACAAAAGCAGCTTATGAGGAAAGCTACCAAATAAGGCAGTTGTTGGTAATAATAGCCAGGAATCCATTGATTAAACGCTCTAAAATATCTCATTTTCAGACAAGCCAAATGTGCCGTATTAATGTTAATAAGTTTGTAATAAACAGATGCTTTTTGCGATGGACTGATGTGATGCTTTAGTCATGCTGTAACCGACTTATAAAGCATTGGTAAATGCTTGATTCATGCAGATAAGTCCAGTTTGCCTTATTTGAAAGTGGTACCATCATTGCACCTAATGGTGGTTTGTGTTTGCAGGCGGATTCAGCTCAGCAAACATGGACATGATTGTTCCTTGATCCAGTCTCTAGAGAGCAGACAGAGACCTGACAAGCACGATGAGTGTGACCGACACTGACAGAGCTCGACAGTCAACAGCCACACCTGACAGCTGCAGCAGGTGTTTACATGGCCAGGTGACTAACTGACAACGTGGCTCCTAAAAAAATAAAAGTTTTTGGAGCAAACTCAACATGTTGTTGGTACTGCTTGTAACAGACATTGTGACTAAACTAAAGTTCTTTGCTGACGCATTAACTGATTGATTAACTCCAGTTTGAATCGATAAGAAGACTGAAGAGAGCGAGAGAGAAAGAAAGAGAGAACGCTAAATGCTAGCTCAGTATTAGCAAACATAGCAGTGTCTCAAGAAAACTATTTAAAATCCAGAAATGTTAAACTCTAACCACAATACCTTATAGTACTTTTACTTAATGCTGTACAGCCGGAACATACGTAACGTTATCATCTTTAAAGAGTACACTAATCTAAACAGCATCTTGAATTCGTTGCACATAACTGCCAGTGCTAGATAGCTAGCTAGCAAAACATGCTCTCAGCACATCGGTGGACTAACAATCGTATTACTTATTTCTGAGGCAAACTTACTGCTGCATTGTATTATTAACACATTCGTCAAAGCTAGTAGAGTCGCTGCTTTGTGAAACGGAGCCCCGTTACCGTTACATAGTGCCACTTCACCTGCCGACTTGGTCCGCTAGCATTAGCAAGCTATCAGTAGCTAGCTAGCACTTGCAGGGATTTCCCAGCATGCACTTACCTATTGCTAGAGTGACGAAGGATATCTGGATGACTAGCGACAGCCAGCTCAGTAAATAAATAAACCACATCTCTCTGCATATGAAACAACACACTCACAAATGTGGGAAAAAATAATACAGAAAACAGCTAGCTGGCTGCTAACTAGCGCTAGTGCACCATGTAGAGCTCAAAGTTCCTCCCCCCGGTGTTTTGAGGCCAGGCTGAGCAGAGGAGAGAAGAAGGGCCTCAACGGAGGAGAAGGTTATAGCGCCCTCTGTGGTTGGAGGAGAGAAGTGCAGTAGCGTCACAATTACTGTATTAGGCTCCTAAGAAATACATTGTAGATTGCTACATTTACTATGTTATTATTCAACTGTGAGTGCATATATTTACAGTTTGCCTCTAATTCACCTATCGACACATCTTTATGAAACCTTCATTTACATGGGAAACATACTGTAAACACACTATTTTAAAGGCTTTACAGTGCAATACTTGCACAAAGATGCACAGTTTGGGCGTTAATGCCAAAGTTCACACAGTATCATAATTGTCTCTCGTTAACACGCCCTTTATTTTCAGTATCCTTGAATATAGAGTATCAGTTTCAGAAACTCCTGTCTCGCTTTCATTACCTGTATGTCTCTATCTCCTGCTTTCTATCTCTCTCTCTCTCACACACACACACACACACACACTGGCTTTCATGTGCATTGATTCACTAACACTGAGGGGACAGAATACATTACTGCATCCCAAAAAGCTAACGCCTTTGAGACCGAGGAGGAAAACAATAAAACATGTATGCAGGAGAGTGAAAAGGCAGACCTTCTAGTAAAAGGAGCTAAATAAAGTAAATATATAATGTGAAACAGTGTGAAGACACTAAAATGGTGTCGGAGTCAAAGGTGAGAGTAATTTCATCTTTTTGAAATGCTTTTAACAAAGGGAGATAGATAGATAGTGTGGTGTCAGGGTGTGGGGTTTGTATTCATTCATGCATGCTCACATATATACATTATCTGTGTGGAGGTGAGAAAACAGAAGGCGACCTGCCGCATTTAAAGATACTTTCAGGAGGAAGCGTCCAGGTCGCCTGAGGCTCTTATCTCAACAACACCTCTGGGTTTCGGGTGTGAGAGCTCTAATGTGCTGAAATAAATGGCGGCCTCCATTCTTCTGCTGGCTCGAGCTCTAAGAGACAGACACCTCGGGAGAGAAGTGAGTATTCATATAATATAGTGTTTTTTATGGCTCTGGCTATTTTTCATCTATATTCTGCAGCATGGGAAAAACAAATCCTGTAACATGCACTTAGATCAGATGAAACCCAGGCACCCAAAAAGAATGATGTTGGACATTAAACATGGCTGAATGAGTTTCATTCCCTTTGACACGCAACAAGTACTGAAGCAGACCTGGGTTAAATTGCGTTTTCATGGTTTTTCTGAAACCCTGAATGTGTGATTTTATTTTTCTTTGCAATGTTCACCTCCATCTCTGGTACTCCCAGGAGAATAAAACAAGCATTGAGAACTGATTTCTGACATTATTTTCATCACAACTCAAGGCTTTATTTGAACTTCTCAATAGAGGCCAAGATCAACTGACATTTCATTGTGAATGGTAACAAAAGCAATGCATTCATGTATTAATTCAAAACATCTGGAAGGATATAATTGGTTCCTCTGAGGTTAAAATAAAAAAGGCCTTCAGTTAATCACTTACAAATAAAAAAGAAGGAATGAGTTCTCAGAAAGCTTTCAGTTTTCCTGGCTGATGATCAGTGCTGACGCTCTGATGCGAGAGTCTCTCTTCTCTCTGTTCTGTTTCAGCCTCCGGAGCACAGGGGCACTGCCGCTCTCGCCCGCCCAGGGAGCGTCTCCTGCTGCTGGGACACACTGTGGACCCGGCTGGGGGTCTGACCAAGAGATTACCAGAAGTTATTCTCGCATCCAGACACTTTGTTCTGATTATAAATACTTCAGAGGCAAAAATACTCTTTGCGTGCAGATCAAATGTTGAGCCTGGAAGTGATCTGGTGGTTACTTTTAACTCTTTATCTTTCCTTTAAAATACATTACAGCGTATTTGCAAGACAATACTAATGCAATTAAAAAATAAAGAATGAAAAAATAAAAAAAATTGTAAAACATTGAAAGTAAAAGACAGGCGACGGTCTTTCCTTGTTAGTGACCTCATAGCATTAAAGGAATACTCCGACATTTTGGAGCCTTCTCTTGCTTGCTGTTAAATCGTCTGTTTTGCATTATATGCGGCCCTTTGAGAGTCAAAATATGCTGTCAAAAGACCACAAACTGTCGTTTTTTTTCGATCCAGAACTGGATTTCTAACCTCATTAAAAGCTTTATTGTTGAGAAACATATCGCCGCATTGCTTCTTCTCAAACACAGTCGAAAGGGGAATCATTTCAGCCCTTAGCTTCCTAAAGCAGCTATCTGTGATGTACAGCAGACCTCTCACATGGACACACAAGAAACTAGACAATAACAATATTAACCTAAACCCCCTTTAGCAGAAATAAAGGACAAACAGACACCACACACGGTAGCATCATTGTGAACGTAGAGGAGTGGCAGCGTACCCCGTGTTTGGTCCTGGTTCTGCCCCATCGCTCTCCTCCTCCTCTGGAGCACCTGCAGGAGCTCCGCTTCCCCAACATTTCGGCCTCGTGTGGACGGCGCTCTGCGGAGCTGCTGGCGTTTCATGTTGTCCTGGTGTGTAGAAAAGGTCAAAGATGCGTTTTTAAAACGCAGTGGCTTGAGTTGCCATTTGTCACCCTGGTGTTTTGCTTTCAGTTGATGTACATTACCAGCATTCCTTTCAACTCCACGACAGCGGATTTTCTGTTTTCACTCCTCTGATCCTGCAAGAAGTTTTGGGAATAATTTGGAACTGCTATATAATAAAAAACAAAAAAGGAACAAATGTGAATGAGGAGAACTGACCTTCCTTGAGCTGTCATCCTCCTGTGAGCAGAGAAGTCGTTAGTTATCAGAGTTTATCATTTATCACTTTGGTTTTTTTGTTCCTATACAAGTTCCTCTGCTCATTTAAAAGCCCCAAAAGATGCAAACACACAACACAATCAACGGGGAATGTAAACAAAGTCTTTGAGAATACAATCTGTCCACCTGTGTTCTCTTCATGGGCCTCAGGATGATGCCTCTCTTTATTCTCTCCATCATTTCATCCACCGCTTTCGTCTGCATGTCCAACAACGGTGCTGCTTCTTAAAGATTAGAGATGGAAAACATATTTAAACCTGTTTCAAGCCTTTAGGACTGAGAGCTCATTGTTATGGAGTGCGTACTGCATCTAATTTGTGTTCAAATGAGGTAGAAGTAAAGTACAGGGTTTTGAGAAACCAGGAAAAATTAAAACATTCAGGATAAATCTCGTCTTCAGGGGGAAAAGTATGTTTTTTGGAAGAGTGACTCACTGTTTTGATCAGCTTTAGTGGCTCTTTCTTTTCTCCTGATTCTCAGGAAATCAAGTGAACTTGGCACAGAGAGAGGGGGGAGGGGTCACATTGTCATACACGGTGACATGGTGTTTTACAATTCATAAATATTAAAAGGCCTCAGTTATTAGGGTGTAAAAAGCCTCTGATACACTATTTAAACTGACTGGCTTTAATTAAACATACTTGGTGACAGCAGTGTGTGGTGGAGGAAGAGGGGGAGGTGGAGGAGGTGGAGCAGGAGCGGCTTTCTCCTCTGGTTCTTCCGGCCTGGTCAGCGTTTCTTGTAGCTGTTTCACTACAAAAGGAAGATCGTCAGTTTCATAAGCCAAGAGAGCGTTCGCCCGCTAAATACAAAGTGATATTGACCCGCTTTACACGAAACAAGCGGCTCATTCAAGGAGAAAGACTCCAAGATCATTGAGGCAGAGATTTGTTTTTTTAGGAAGCATCTGACTACACAGCTTGTAGTGTCTGTGACATCATTCGTACAAAGGATGTTTTGAAGCATAGATAGGAGTCAGGAAATCCACATCTGTGCGGCAAGATGGAGCTAAGGTGGGTTAGGCCACCACTTCTTAATCATGCCTCCAATTAAGCTCTTGAACAATAACATTAGAAGAAGCGGCTTCCACTTTCAGCCATTGCTTTTGACCCTTTCCTGCAGCTACCATTGAGCACGTTTGCTAAGAAATGTCCCCCCCCCCCCCCCCCCCCCCCCCCCCCCCGCCGCCCCCCCC